GCAAGATTCCACAAAACAAATACCTAGTGCTAGAAAATTTGAGGCTACAGGAACAGAGAGGGGGAAACATCTCAATGCAAGAATACAAACGGCATGAGAAGAAACAGCGTGTCTGGAGAAGACTAGCGTGTCTGGAGCCTGGGAGGGACGCAGAAGGTAGTAGGGGTTGAGGTCAGAGAGGCATGGGGGGATGGATGGGAGCCAGGGCATGCAGGGCTGTGGCAGAGTGCCCCTCTGCCACCTGTTCAGCCTTCATTCTGGGTCTCCATGAAGCTTAGAGAGTCATGACCCTTGGCTCCCTTTGTCTGCCATTAATGGATATGGCTTTGACAACAGGCAGGATGACTGGCTGTTCTTTTATACAACTCACAGTGGTATGTAGATGGGCATGAATATTTATTGTCTCCAAATGATGTCACTCTTGATAAAGTGAATCTGGATATCAACATTCTGTAACCTCAGCACACGATCTCATTACTACTGCCAGGAATGGGTACCCCACTCTCCCCAGATGTCCCAGGACAGGCTCCTTAGGAGGGGGTGAGGTGAGGCAAACATGCTAAGTCTCTCCTACTTCCCATCTATGAAAAGCGAGCCCACAGCAAGCCTCTAAGGTGCTGGACTCAGGGAACTGCAATGCTCGGTATGGTGCATCTCTTCATGACTCCACTTGGTCCCTTAAACAAGCTTTTTATTTCTACTTATGCCTGCTTTTGCCCAGGGGTCTCCATTCGAAGCTCCATACTGACCCACTGCCTCTCTCAGATGAGCCTGAGTCTTCCACTCCCTTCGGCCCCACCTGTTGAGGAGAGGACTGGTTACGACAGCCACACTCACTCTGCCTAGCCAGTCTCCATCTTGCAGATCTTGATGTGAACCTACATTCAATAATCTTCAAAGAATCTCTTCCTTATTTGACGGCTTTCTTCCAGTTCCCTCAAAACTTTAAGAGCTCAGTTTGCAAAGTTTTCTGGACTGGAGAACCACGTGGGAAGTTTGTTTTTGTTTGTTTCTTTTTTAAATATCAATGCCAGGTCCTACTATAGACCAAGTAAATCAGAATCTTTGGGATGGGGGCAGGCATTGGTATTTTCAGAATTCCCCACACAACTCCAATGTGTGACCAGGGCTGAGAATCACTGAGCTAAAAGAGGTCTTCTTCAACTTTATCATGTGTACAAATCCTCTGAGGATCTTGAATGCAGCTTCAGATTCCGTAGGTATGGGGAAGAGCCCAAGATTCTGCATTTCTAATAAGTTCCAATGGAATGCAGTTGCTGCTGGTCCATGGACCACACTTTGAGTAGCAAGGGTCTGCAGGCAGCCAGCTTTGAGGGTTAAGGGATGAAAGCAGGGTTCATTGGTTTTCTACATTCCAACCAAGTGTCCCGTATGTGGCAATCTTTAAAGCTGGAAAGGGGCTTCCTGGAAGAGTTGGAGTAAAAGGCTCTTATAGAAGGGGACAGGATTTTTCTGCTAATGTGGGATTAGAAACTTTCACATCTAAGAAATGGTACAGGATCCATTCGCTATTATGCATAAAGTGCCTAGCAGAGTACCCAATACATAGTAAGTTCTCAATCTGTGGTACTTGTGCTATTATTGTTTTCATTATTACTGCAGGACTCTCAACCCACATCCCAAACCAATCAAGCATGTGCTTTTGATGTCCAAAACCCTGACCAAGCCCCACAAATTACTTTCATCCCCAGAGGATGTGCCTCAGACAGCAGCCAACCACAGGAAGGCTTGAGTCCGGGGACCTTCATCCCAGACACAATCCCATGGACCCTGCCTGGTCTAAGGACACCAATGCATTGCCTTTGGTTCTTTCATTAACGTGATTCATCTTCCATGAGCTGTGGATGTGCCTCCATAGCCTGATCATGGCTAACAGTCAGTGTTTGCTCTGTATGGGGACCTGTCTTCAGTGCTTTACTTGGTTTAACTCATTATACAATTAAAACAACTCTGGCCTACAGGTACGATCGGCTTCAATAGCAGACAAAGAAACTTGGAAAGACTAAGAATCTTGCCCAATATCACATACATAGTAAGAGACAGGGCCAAAAGGCAAACTGAGGAAGATACTTAAATGCTCAAGCTGTCCCGGTGCTTCTCGAACTCTAATTGCTAAGCGATTTCACCAAATTACAGGTTCTCATTCAGCAGGAGAGGTAGAGTCTGGGATTCTGCATTTCCCACAAGCTCTCAGGTGATGCTGATGTGGCTGACCCACCAAAACCATCTTGAGTATCAAAGTTACTCATATGCTCTGATGCCTACTGGTGTTGCTGGATATCTTCCTTAATAGCCCCCTAAAAACTTACTACCATACTCCTACAACTGATGGTTTGTTGATTCGATGAGTGTCAAAATTATGGTAAATTTCCACCCTGAACACTTACGCAAAGTTCTGTTCAACTTCTGCTCAAACTGCAATATTTTGTGGCAAAGGATCAACTGTTTGGAAAAGCATTGTGTCCATTATAATCTGTAGAAGCTGCAGCTTGTGATGAAATTGCTTTTAAATTTAAGCATCACAACTGAGAATGCTTTCTGGGCCAGGATACTATTCCCATCTCCAAGCGCAAAGTGAAGAGTTCCAATTTGAGAAATACAGGAGGAGAATTTCTTGAAACATAGAAGTGAATCATGTAACTGGAAGCTTTCCTTCTCAGCTCACTAGAAGAGACGAGGTATATAGAAACCAGAAGAAATGACAAATCTTCCAGCTCTGTGAAGGGTATTTAAGGGCAAATCCAGACTGTCCACCTAATCAGTCTGAATTCAGCAGTGGGGAACCAGCTCGCTTGAGAATGAGACAAAGAAAACCCAAACAGAGAGAGGGGAAGATAAACAACCAGGGGTGCTTTTGATGCCAGAGTGACCTGAAGTTTCAGAGTCACAACAAGGTTCTGGTGGAGACTGACTTCAAAGGATGAATCCTTGGAAAAATCAAAATATACTACTCAAAGGTGGTGATAATACCAGAGTTGGATTCAACAGTGATCAGTGACAAAAAGGATTAGCTACAACGGTGTCTCTATGCAACTCCCACGCCCAGTGACTCTCAAACTTAGTTCCACATTAGAATCACCTGGGAAGTGTTAGCCACCAGCCCCCACCCACCTCCATTCTCAGACCACACTTCTACATCAATTCAATCAGTCTCTGGGGGTGGGGCCGAGGCATCCTTAATTTTTAAAGATCCCCACTTGATTCCAATGTGCAGCCAAGTTTGAGAACCACTGGCTTAGGTTTTCAGTGTCTTCACTCATAAGATGAAGGAATCCTTCAGAACCAGTGATTCTCACCACTAGACACATGTTAGAATCACCTTGGGGAGATTGTTTAAAATACTAACATGATGCCAACACCATCCCTAGAAATTCTGGTGATTCTGTGGAGCCCAGGCATCAGCATTTTTAAGACCTCCTCAGGTGATTCTAAAATGCATCCATGTAGATGACCACTGGTCCAGATGTTTTTGCCAAGATTCCTTCTATTGCTTATGTTTTAAGGATCTATGGTGTTAAAGCTGAAAATGCATCTTAGACATTTTGCAAATGTGGAGTCCCCATCTTTACCTTTACAGCCAGGATTTTTAACTTTGGATGAATCTATTAATTCCCTTAAATCATATACAAACTGTTGGATGAATATGAATATGTATATGTATTTGTATTTCTCAGGAGGGAGTGTCATCCTCTTTTATTAGGCTCTCAGATTTAAGGATGCTATTTTAAAAGCAAATATTAGGTTTCTGACTTAATAAATTTAAGAAAAATAAAGAATGACTGGAAAATAAATTTGATCTCATCAGCACCTTTGCTATAGTTTGGATTTGGTCACACCCACTGTCACCTAGTGGTTATATATCCTTATTGCAGGCTTAGTTCAGATCACATTGCCATAGATGTGAAGATTTCAGATCCAAGTATCAAAGTAAAAGCTTTCTCTGGGACTAGGATTAGTACCAGTAAGAGGCTATCTGGAAACACTCACTACAAGAGATGACTTCCCAAGCTGTACTTGTAAGGAGACTGTCCACTTAGATATTTTGGATTCATACCCTTAACTGGGTAAGGATATTATGGTTTCCTAGTTCTTACTATCGTTAATTATTTGCCTTGGCTTGAATCTTGTTTTTCTCTCTTACTAATCACGTAACCTTGGGAAAGTTACTTAGCCTTTCCATTCCTCACACAAAATGGGGACAATATAAGTATTTCTAAGATTGCTGTGGAGAATAAATAAGAAAATATACATAAAAGGCTCAGCATGACTCTTGGCACAGAACAAGATTCCAATAAATATTTAGGTTATATTACTGTTATTACTGATTTTTTAATTATTATTAACATCTCAGTGACCTTGTTCAAGTTACTAAAGTTCCTTGAGCTTCATATATCGACCCGTATGACGAGGAAAATAAGCCCTGCCATTTTCTTCACAGTTATAGCAATGATAAGTACAAAAAGTAGAAGGCATATTGTTATTTTATGGCAACTCATCATACATCCAGGGAATCTACAGAGCACAGGAAAAGGATACGCAAAAATACAGATGTTAATTCTCATCCTCAGGAAGGAGCTCTTTGAGATCCCAGTAGTTGAGCAGGTTCTACAGTCGGGTACAGTAATTTATTGTCACATATCTAGCATCCTACTCAGCCTAAAGTTTCCCACCACATGGGTGAATGGATGGCCATACCCTGCTATGGATGCTGCAAGCTCCTTTATACCAGCCACTCACTAGGTCACGCGTGCCTGAAATTGTCAGTTCTCATCCAGCCCAGACACTGACCAGCAACAGTCTTGCCCATTCCAAACTCACCCCAGGGAGAGAGTCCCAAAAATCTTTTGCAAGCCTGCCTGTCCATCAGAGAGTCGCTCCTCTGACCATCATATGTCCACAACCTGCCCCACCAGAGCAGAAACATCTTGAAACCTCTCACCAGCCTCAGCAAATAATCAAGGTGCCCAGCTGTTACTTACCTGGAGTCTGCTTGGCCGTACGCACAGGAGTGTAGTGGTTTTTGGAGGATGATCTGACCGGCGTGTTCTCTTTGGGAGAGGTATCGATAGCCGAGATAGTTTCTCTTTCACAGTGTGCTATGGGGATTGGTCCCTGTTGTCTTAAGATGTCAGCCAGAGCCCTAAACAAGGAGGAGATCACATAATGAGATTCACTGAGCAGGTGTGCACACCCATGAGGGGAGTTGGCTTACTTTCATATGCCCTTTGATTTGCAGAGATGCAAGAAGAGAGAGAGACAGCGTTCAGCTCTCAATAGTCAGCTACATCTGGTGTTGGTCTCGGGGGGGACACAGGGTAAAGGTTACCATGCCTGGAGGTACAGACTAAAAGGCTGGGGCTATGGTTTCTTTCCTTAATTCATTTCACATTAGTAAACTCTGAGGCCTTTCAAAATACTGGCTCCCCAGATATCCACCTATGCCAGGCAGGTATCTATAGCAGTTGGCCAGTGGAATGCCACTATGGTGAAGGGCTGAAACTATCGGCCTCAAATTCAGCAGCAGGTCACTAATATCAGGGGACCACTTCATCATCCAAAACCACACACCAAGTATCATGTACTAGATACTGGAGACCCAAATAAGTACAACACACAGCTCCTGTTATCAAGGAAGGGTATGATTGAGCTGCAAGGACAGGATATGGAGATGAAAAGATAAAAATCAAAACACGTGAATGGTGCAGACAGTCAAGACAACTGGAGTTCAGAGGAGGGAGCAATCACAAACACAGGGAAAAAAATACACAGGAAGAAAGACAGACAGGCAGAGACTCTGCCATAGCAGGAGAGACCCATTCCCCTGCAACAGGTCCAGCTACTCAAGAGAAAGCAGCTTTTGTTAACCCAGCGCCCAGCTTCAACAACCAAACATGCAGTGACTGAGGACTCAGCATGCATTAGTCACTGAAGAGAGAGAGATCAATGGGACCCAATTCCTCCCATCTAGGGGCTCATAATTCAGGGGGAATTGCTCCCCTACTTGCTTTCAAACAGGACGCCCTCTGTGGGTATGACATGTGAGATACCCACTGGCAGTGGGGAACAGATGAGTACGGACAGCCACAAGAGACTACACCTGGATACTGTCACTTCAGAGCCAGGTCCCCAGTCCTCAATGCACTCCATTTTGCACATGCCAGGCAAAGACTCTTCCATTTTCCTAAGGGGTGTCTCTGAGGGGTGGGGCCCTGCCCAACCCAAGGCTTCCCTCTTACCAGGAGTCCAGCTCCAACACTCTGGCCCCATGAAAAGTGACAACTGCAGCAGTTTAGAAATGCATCTGAGTAAACTGTAGGGGGAAGAATAGTTTCTTCACAAAATGGTCCTGGGACAACTAGATCACCACATGAAAAAGAAGGAAGTTGGATCCTTACCTCACACCACATAAAAAACTAACTCAAAATGGATTATATACCTAGATATTAGTCCCAAAACTATAAATCACAGAGATACCCTTTCATACACACTAGGATAGCTATAACCGAAAAGCCACATAATACCAAGAGTTGGCAAGGAGGTAGAGAAATTTAATCCTTCATACACTGTTAGTGGGAATGGAAAACCCTGCAATCCCTTTGGTAAACAGTTTAGCACTTCCTCAAAACTGTGATGTTCCTTAAAAGCAGAATTAACATGTGGCCCAGCAAATCTACTCCTAGGTATTCCCAAGAACAATGAAAAACATATGTTGTATTAAACTTGTGTACAAAAGTTCAAAGCAGCAGTATTAATAATAGCCAAAGGGTTGATGCAACCCAAAAGTCCATCAACTGCTGAATGAAAAAACAAAATGTGGTATATTCACACAATGGAATATTATTCAGTCATTTTAAAAAGGCATACTGATACATGCTATCACACAGATGGACCTTGAAAACATCATGCTAAGTGAAAGAAGTACACCGTAAAAGATCATGTTTCTATAACATACCCAGTTAGGTAAATCCATAAAGACAGAAAGCAGAACTGTGGTTACCAGGGGCTGTCTCCAGGTCATGTGAGAAAATAAGAAAGCAGCTTCTGCTATGAGATGTATCTTCTCCTGGGAGAGGGCTCCTGATGGCCAGTGGGCTGCACTGAGCTGGTCAGCACAGCCAAGAGAGAGGGATGTACAGCAAAAGGTGTTTCTCAAACAAGGGCTGCCTGACAGGCTACCTAAGGATGGGAACCATGCCATGTGTTGTAAAGTGCATGGTAGCTAAGGAAATGCTCCTATTCCCACACCCATGTGTGACCATTCTCCAGGATCCTTCCTTTCCAGTACCCTCTGGCAACTAGGAAGGCAGCCCTCATTCCCAGACCACGTGGCCTTAAGAGTGAGTACCTCTGCCTACTCTCCCTCCCTCCACTGGTGACCCCCCTCCTTGCTCCGGTTCCTCTCCATCTTCCATCCCCTTCTCTCCAGGGTGCTCAATAAATATTATTCTAATTCTGAAATGCGTGATCCTGGTCTCACCTAATTAATTTGAATACGCCGGAGGAAATGGGTTAAGGCCTGAGCTACTTTCTAACCGTAGGAAAGAAAATTGGTCACTGAGGAACCGCACGGCAGATTTTGTAAAAGAGTGGGCAGCAGCTTCCAGCATCTGAGAGAAGACAGTAGGGAGAGTCAGACAGTAGCAAACAGAGAGGGAGAGAAAGGGAGAGAAAGGGAGGGACAGGGGACAGAGGTCCAGAGAGAAAGAGAGGAGAGAAAACAGGTGGAGAGAGGAGAGAAATGGGAGATGGAGCCAAAGAGACAGAAGGAGAGTGAGAGGGGGTCTGAAACCCCAAGCAAGAGAGAGCAGGTGAGGTTCAGAGAAGAGAATTAGTGAAAGTGACAGGCATCAGGAGACAGAGAGAGGATAGGAGGCAGAGTCTGAGGGACAGGCAAGCCAGCAGGAAGAGCAAGAGGGAGAGTAAGCCACAGAGAACCAAAGTGAAATCCAGAGATAAAATGCGATTCAGAAGACACAGGGAAAGGGGGTTAGAGAGAGACATTCGGAGGGAAAGAGTCAGACAGAGAGAGACACACAGACGGCCAAGTGAGGGACTCAGGACAGGACAGGCTGTCAGCAGGGCCCTGTCATCCCCCATGTGGACGACAGATGTGTCTGATTTAGGAATCTGAAGTGAAGACCACCTTAGTGGTCGTGCTCTTTCCAACCCTCCCCCACCCACAGCCCCTTTGGCTGCAGTATCTGATATATGGAACAAAAGAATTCTTTTGCCTGAATTATCTGGATTATTGCCTAGGTTTGATGCTCCCTTCTGTCTGTGTATTTCTTGGCTTTCTCGGGTGTGTGGCAAGCAGGGGAGAGTAAATTAATCAGGCAGCAAATCTGATCAGGGAAAACAGTCACTGTGACGAGGCCAGGAAACTTAAGCTTCCTTCAGTACTTGGTCTTGTATATTAATCACCTGAATAGCAAAAGTATCATCTTACATTTGGCTAGTGCTTAATAATTGCTCAATGCATTCACCTGCCTTGTCTCATAATCCTATCCCTGTGACCTTTGCAGCTATTATTATCATAATTTTTAACAAGGAACTGAGGTTCAGGCTAATTCCAGCACTAAAGCATATTGGAACAGGGATTTAACTCTAAGGCTTCTGACTTGAGCCCAGGCATCCTTCTGTTCACTGGGACTGTCTCTTACATACATTCCACTTCCTACAAATCATCAGCTTTAATGAGTACTCCTGGTCCCTCCAGCTGGGTCGGCTAATTTAGCAAATGCCAGTTAATATTTGGGCATGGAGAAACAATTAGTAAATGAGTGATTCAGTTCAATACCAATTACGTATTTGCTTAAAACCTTGGTTATTGTTGTCAGTGGTCCCGAGGAAATGAAAGCGTGTCTGAATTTCCCTCAGTGCTTAGTTATCTCAACACCTGCAGGGACCAGGCCCAGTCAACATTTTAACGTGTTGCCACCTGCATTCAGAATATGAACTAGTTCTTAAAATGGCAAGTGATTTCCCTTAACAACTGAAAAACAAACAAAACCTTGTTCATAACTTTGCCTCAGAGTCTTGTCTGCTTGAGATATTAGAGACTATCATTCATTCAGTGATTACAATGTCCCAGACGCTGGTTCTTACATGCATTGGATCATATATGTCTCAGAATGCTCTTACAAGGGATGTGCCATCGGTAGCCCTATTTGGTTGATCAGAAAACGAAAACTTTTAGAGGTTATATATGTTACCCAAGGTCACACAGCTAGTAAGTGCTGAATTCAGATTCCAAACACAGGTAGGTTAAACTACAGGGGCTGACTATATACCACCAGATTATTCATTCATCTAGCCACCCATCTCTTCATCCATCTCTCCCTCCCACCATTCATCCTTCCCTCTCACTTTCTATCCCATATCCCATCCATCCACCCACCTCCATCTATCCAAAATTATATCCATGCCCCTAATTCATCCCCTCATCCATTCGTCCAACACTCTACCCATCAATCCATAAAACACTTCATCCATCATTGAAGATCATCCCTCCATCCAACACCCCATCCATCCATCCATCCATCCATCCATCCATCCATCCATCCACTTCATCACATTTGTTTTCTTCACCTACTATGTCCCTGTAATGGTCCCTGAACACAAGATTTTAGAGAGTGTTTAATCATTGGGGCAAAGATCTACCCAGACCTGAGAACTCAGCTGTGGCTCAACTGCTCAGTGCTATTCACCTCAGTGTGCCATTCACACCAACAGCTCTACAACCTTTTACACTATTTTAGCAGCTATCTTTTTTGCCAAATGAAATCCTGACTGGAACAGCAACATACTTCACCAGACCCCTGCTCTGCATAAGGCCAGTGGGAAGTGGGGGCCCTGTTCCTCCAAGCTCTTCCCAGTAAATCTGGTAGGAAGTACTCAGTTGTCCCTGGACTTCGTGGAGTTTTCAAATTTTAAAACAAGTATGGTGAAAGAGCATCAAAATGAAAACTTGGGTTTTTTTTTTTCTTTTGTCCCAATCTTCATTCACTGAACAGATGGTCAAACTTAGGTCCTCCCAAATGAAGTGGGGGAACCTAGAGCCCCTTAGTTCACCTGGTAATTCTTATAAATCTCAACCAATATGCCCTCCATGAGGACCCCGTAAATACTGTTGCTCAATGA